GGAATATTGATGTGCAGTTTCTTGAAAATCTCCACAAACTTTGCAAACTGTTTGTCCAACTTCTTTCTTTGTAACCTTTGAGGAAAGGGAATTGGTGGCACATAAGCTTTCACGGGGGGTGGGTGCTCTCACCGTGGATGTTTCTTTCCTTTTATCCTCCTCGTTAGTTGGTTGTTCAGACTCTGCTTTTGTCCCAGCCTCTTCATCCATTATTTCTCTGTCTTTTCTATCTGGTCTCTTCACATGTATCTCTGGAAGTTGCACTCCACTTCTAGTTGTAATAGCTTGCACTTGCTCTTTTGGATTGACCATTGTGTTGCCTGGCAAAGTCCCTTGTGGGCGTTCTGCAAGCTATTGAGCTATCTGACCAATTTGAGTTTCCAGCTTCTTAATAGATGCTTGCTGATTCTGAAAGTTAGTGTCAATCTGTTGGAATACCTTATCTGTCTTCTGCATGTACTGGTTGAACATCTCTCCCAAATTTGGTCTTTTCTCTGGCTGGTTATTGTTCGAACTGCTCCCTTGCTGATTATCCGACCATCTGAAGTTTGGGTGTTGTCTCCATCCTGGGTTAAATGTCTGTGAAAAGGGATTAAAATTTCGAGAGCCATTTTGAATGAAGTTGATTTGTTCCTCTGGAAAGCCTAAAGATGTGCAATTTTCTGTTAGATGATTAGCTCCGCAATTCTCACATGATGGACCGGCTATCACTGCATGTGCTCCTTTTGTTTGTGACTTCACCAATAAGTCCACTTATTTTGTCAATGCTGCTATTTGGGCGTTGGTCGACGCTGAGCTGTCTACTTCGTATATCCCCCCTGTTTTTGGAGGCACCACTCTTTCTGATGAAAACATGGAATGAGTAGTAGCAATCAACTCAAAGAGATCCATACATTGTTGCTCTGATTTCCCTATGATCGATCCGCCTGCAGAGGAATCCACTTGAGATTTGGATAATGATGAAAGTCCCATGTAGAAATACTGCACTTGATTTCCAATAGTGATCCCATGATTCGGACACTTCCTCATCAACTCCTTAAATCTGTTCCATGCTTCATGATAGCTCTCCCCATCTCTCTGTTGAAAAGTTTGAATTTCCAGTCTAATTTTTGCTGCCTTAGCTGGTGGAAAGAACTTATTGCAGAATTTCCTGGTCAGTTCCTCCCATGTGGTAATGCTTCTATCCGGTTCGGCATCCAGCCATTCCAATGCTGCATCTCTTAGTGTATAAGGGAATAATCGCAGCTTGATGGCATCCTCATTAACCCTGGGAGCATGACAATTCTGACAATTCCGGAGAAACCTTGAGATATGCGTGTTTGGATTCTCATGAGGTAACCCATAGAATTGCAGAGTGTTGCTCATCAAATTAGTCCAATCAGCCCGTATCTGAAAGTTGTTTACCCCAAATTCTGGATATACTATGCTGGACCGCGCGGGTGCTGCTATAGGCGTCAAAAAAATAGACACTGGCAAGTCCCCTTCATTTACTTCTCTTTGCTCTTGCTGTTGATTTCTCGCGGCCATTTGTCCAATTGGCTATATAGGGATAGGGTTATTTAAATTGTCAGCCATTTGATGCTGCTGTTTTTGTTTGTGTTCCCTGCGTCTTCGTCTGAAGGTACGTTCTATTTCCGAATCAAACGATTCAAGATCGTCGCCTTGGGCACGGAGCATACAACGAACACTCTTTTCTTTTTTTCTTTTTTTCTTTTTTTTTGTAAATAAAAGAAAATAAATAAATATAAAAATTTAAAATTTAAAATAGAAAAAAAAATAGATTAAGACTAAAAGTAATAGTCCCCGGCAACGGCGCCAAAAACTTGTTGTCGATTTTATCCCGCAAGTGAACGGATCGTAACAAGTAGTAAAGTGGACCTTTTGAGTCTGGATTGTCGTTCACCTAATGGTCACCCCATTAGACAATGCACGTGATAATCGATGACTAGAACAGTCAAGACGAATGGACAAGAATTTAACTTCAGAGATGGAGTATTTTTCTTTATGCCATCTTAGGAATATTGGTTGGGAAACATTATGCAACCATGCAATGCTTTAACAAGAAGGAAAATTTTTCTTAGAAGTCTAAAGAAAAGAAGACCAAGGGCTATTCACCTGAGTATGAAAATTTCGAGGACAAAATTATTTTAAGGGGGTGAGATTGTAACGCCCTGAAAATTTTGGAATAAAAATATATGTCTTATATGTTATAGTTTTAAAATTTGAGGACTGAAATGAAATAGCGTTTAAAGTCAT